CTCTGAGCTTGCCGGTTTCCTTGCAGACGTTTCGTGACCCAACTAGGTAACGCCATCAGTGTTAGAAGGAGAGGGGATTGCGGGGAGGAAGAGGAAGGAGGAAGAAAAAGAGGAGAGAGGACTGTGGGGTCCTTGATTCCCTCTGAACTTTGCTGGTTTTCTTGCAGACCCATCTAGATGACATCATCCGGGCTAGAAGGAGAGGGAGGTTTTCCGAGAGGTTTAAGTTTATTAGATTTATATATTTATTAGATTTATAGGAGAGGAGGAGGAGGAAGAAGACTAGGAAATAAATAAAACAGTATAAATTGTAAAGATACAAGCAAGTCCTAAGTGGGGAGAGATAGATACTAGGAAGGAAGAGAAGAATAATAGTAATTCGGTCTTAGTAGATAATTTGACAGTGGCGAGGAAATTAGATGTTTAGCAGAGTGATGGCATTTGGGGGAGAAAACCCATCCTTGTGTCTAATCGTAATACAATACAATAATTACAATTGTCCTGGTGTGCCTTATAGCCTCGTTTTGAGGGTAGGAGTTGAAACGATTCACGTCCAGGACGCGAGGGGTCCCGTGGATATTTTCCCAGCCCTCTTTTTGACTCGTGCAATATACTAGTCCTCAACAGGTCGGCAGCCGTCGGTTTTTTCTGCCGCTCTGATTCTCCTCTGAAGTTTGTCTCTTGTCTTGTTGTGTTGTTTTTTCGGCCTCTTTCCTGGCTCCCAGCTGGAGTTTCGCCTTCGAAGCCCAGCCACCCCTCAATCCTGCAAAAAGAAGACATTTCTGGCAAGGAAGGTTTTGTGCGCACTCGAACGGCCCCCGGGGTGCCGTTGTGTTCGCAGAACCGGTGCAGCCTGCTTTTTTTTTAAGCTCCTCGGGGTGTGTGTGTGAGTGAGAGTTTGTGTCTCTGTGTGTGTTTTTTTTCCATGCTCCCTGCCTGGCTTTTCCTAATCCCAGTTTTCGTGCATCCCAGGAAAATATGGGTCTGGTTCTCCCCTCCACCTCTCTCTCATTCCTGTCTTTGTTGTCTCTTGTTGTGGTTGTGTTGACTCAGGTGTACCTGAAAGCCCGGGCCGAAGAGAGGGCGAAGCACGAAAACGGGGCCCCACCGTTGACAAACGACAACTGTCATCCGCCAGAGGTAAGGGACGCCTTTTTCACACGGCAGCAAAACGGGGAGAGGCTGGGATTTGGGAAGAAAAAAAATCTGAACATCTCCTGGCTGCTTGGAGCAAGTTTCCAAACTTTTCCCGGCCTGCCAGTTAAAATAAAAACAAAATAAAATAAATGTCACCCACCTTAACCTCCAAAAATCAGAACCAAAACCGGCTAAGAGAGTTGGAAGGGACCTCAGAGGTCTTCTAGTCCAGCCCCCTGGTCGAGCATATCGCCTCTGACAAATATCTTCTTAAAAAAAACCCCAGGGGAGGATCAGAAGCCACGACATCTAGTGACAAGCTGTTCCGCTGGCTAATTAATCTCCCGGTTAGGAAGTTTCTCCTTAGTTCCGGCTTGTTTCTTCTCTCCTCGGTTAGTTTCCATCCGTTGCTGCTTCCCCCTCTTCAAATCTGGTTGCAAAAATTTGCTTGTGATTTCGGGTGCTTTCCCCCCCACATCAAATCTTGCTGGAAAATGTCTTCTTTTTTTAAATTTTATTTTATTAAATAAATTTTATTTCCCATATATACGTTCACAATGATATAATCTCATAACTGTTGTTAATAATATGTATTTATAACGATTTTTCTCCCCTACAATTGACGATATAATTGAGATTGCTTTCTTACCATCCCATACACCCATCTTATTTTACAACAATCCTACTTCTTCCTTCCNAAAAAAAAGTTCCCACGATCACGCGGCACAGCTGATTGTTGCACAGCTGATCATCGGAACTTTAAAACGTTTAAAAAATGCTTTAAAAAGTAAAAAAAAAACTGTTCCCACAATCACGCGGCACAGCTGATCGTTGCACAGCTGATCGTTAGAATTTGTTTTCTTTTTTTTAGCATTTTTTAACTACTAGTTCTCCCGGTAGTTAAAAAATGCTTTAAAATTGTCACACAGCTGATCTTCGGAACTTTTTTAAAAACTTTTTTTTTTTAGAATTTTTTACTACCGGTTCGAGCAAACCGGCCTGAAGCGGTAGCATTTCACCCCTGGGCATGATATATCTATTTCATTTGTTGATTGATTAAACAAACGTTGGGGACCAAACCGGGACTAAACTGGAACTAAACTCCCAGCCAAGGGTTTACTACTGATACAGAATTCTCAGGACTTAAAACAATGGATTCTCAGTTCTCCCTAAGCAATCTGTCTGCCCTCTTCACTCTTTCCAGGCACCGGATCTCTACAGTCGTAAAGGGAAATACTTTAACGTCGAAAGAGTTGGGCAGGTAAGGTGTCAGTCATTGCATTGAGCGACGGCCTGGGTCATGGGAGTTCTTGAGAAAGGGAAGAGTTGGCCAGTTTGAGATAGTTGAGCAATTTGCAATTTCGGAGCGAAGCTAGATAGACAGACAGAACAACTTTACTGTCAAAGAGACAAAGGGATTGTTTAAAGATAGAGAAATGAATGTTGAAACTGCTCAACAATTGGTGGGGGGGAGAAAGAGGAACACGATATTCAAGAAACAGATGAGAAATTAGAAAAGGGAAAATAAAAATGGGAAGCGAGAAGAGGAGAAAAGATTAATAAGTAGAAGACAATTATACAACCCCTCAATTTATAATGGTAGAGAGAGAAAAGAGAACGAGAACTTTTTAAAGTTATCAACTTTTCAAATAACGCAATCGGAGATAAAAAGCACTCGGAAAGAGCCGAGGTGGCGCAGTGGTTAAATGCAGCACTGCAGGCTACTGCTAGATCAGCAGTTCAGCGGTTCAAATCTCACCGGCTCAGGGNAGAACAATTAATCAGTGGAACAACTTGCTTCCAGAAGTTGTGATGCTCCAACACTTTTTTTAAAGAAGATGTTGGATAACCATTTGTCTGAAAGTGGTGTAGGGTTTCCTGCCTGAGCAGGGGGTTGGACTAGAAGACCTCCAAGGTCCCTTCCAACTCTTACTCTATTCTATTCTGTTTCTATTCTGTTTCCTATTTATTTGCAGAGGCAATTACTGCAGTCGGTTCCTTCATTCTGAAAGCGAACGAGCTGCTCCAGTAAGTAATTAAAATTATTTGCAAAAACCCTTCGTTCAGCTTCGGGTAGTTTTCGGCATCAGAACAGTTTTGTTTCGTGGCCACTCAAAGCTGCAACGGCGCAATGAACAGTGTGACTTACGGTACATTGTTCACAATTATGGCTTCTGCAACCTCCCCAGGGTCAGAATTCAGACGCTTGGGAATTGTCTCACACTTATGACGGTCACAATGTCCTGGGGTCACGTGCGACCTTCTGATGAGTCAACGGGGAAGCCAGATTCCCTTAAAAACCGGCTTACTAACTGACCAGCGGCCGTGATTCCCTTAACAACTGCAGCAAGGGTGGTTGCAAAACGGGCAACGCTCCTTTAACAAACGTCTTAAAATGTGTGCTCTGTTGTCATAACTCGGGGACTAATAAATGACTGGCCCGAACCAAACTCAGTTTCCCTTGAGGAATACCACTTGAGAGAGTCATTTCTCTTTTCTCTCTTCCCCCCAGAGTTATAGACAGCAGCATGAAAAACTTCAAAGCTTTCTTCCGTTGGCTTTATGTAGGTAAGAAAAATGGTCCCAATCCTAAATATTTCTCTCCCCCTCCCCTCCCTAACTTTCTCTCAAGCTGGTTGGACTCTTAAAAAAGCTGGTTTCACAAAGTTGGGTGTGTGGAAATGCCATCCCCAAGAAAAACATGAACTGGGATCTGAAAGAGACACCTATAACAATAGAAAAAGAAAGGAAGGGGAGAAGGAAGGAAA